ACGCTGGAAATTTGCAAGTTGTTCCATTGCACCGTGAAATGCATGGAATTGTGAAAATTGTGTCGAGCTTTTTTTTTCCGTCACGTACTGATCGCGAAATAGTACGGATCAGAGACAAAGAGAGAGCAGAGAGAGATTGACGAAAAGAAAATAAGAGGAAAAAGTACCGATAGCAATTTCATAATTTAAAAAAATACTTTTATATCTCTATCTGTGAAAAAAAAAATAAATATATATATATATATATTTTTTTTTTCTACATACAGATATAAAAGTATTTTTTAAAATTATATATATATATATACCGATGACAAAAGCGAGGTCGACGTGCCTTCGCGCTTCACGTTGTAGGCAGTTTCGAAATAATTAATCAGCACGATTACAATCGACTCGTAAAATTAACGTGCCGTAACCAATATACGTACGTATTTCCTTAAAAGTGAAAGTAAGAGTTACGCGTTGGTATATTCGCGCGTCTGTTGTGCTAAACGCGCGGTCCGAATCTATTCCTTATCGTTATCTACATCGGACATCGCGAGTATGCGTTCAGGACATTCCTAGCGGACCAGGTTGTATCGTAACGAAGATTTAGAAACAAGAGTAAGAAATTACGGCGATAACTGAAAGGCAATTGCACAGTATATACTTATGGAAATTATTAATTTTGCGCATTGAGGGATTTAATATGGCGGAGCGCGCGCGCTCTATCCTAAAAGGCGAAATGTCGAGCGCGCAACCGGGATTCAATTTATTTCTTTACGTCTCGTACGAAGCGCAACTTTTTGATTCGCGCAACTTTTGATTCGCGACGGCTGACGCTCAACGAGCAATTTTAATTAAATGACACCGTGACTAACGTTGCGCGCGCGCGCACGCACGTTAAACGCCCGTGACTCAGTACTCGTTCCCGTGAGCTTTCAAGACTGGCATCAGAGAATTAGCACGGTAGGGGAAATTTATTATCTCTCTTATATATCTTTAAGAAAAGATAAATAATCCTCTCTCCCTCTCTCTCTC